CGCTAGAAGCCAATAAAAAAAATACAACAAAGATAAGATGCCTTTCAAATGGCAACACAAATTACAAAATCATGTAAGGATTAATAAACACTGCACAGCATGAGTAACATTTTAGGAGAATATGAATAAGTGTAGAGCTACTGTATGCTTACTAAGAGATTGCTTTAACATTTAAAGTTGTTGTGCTCTCCAAACTAACCTACAGTTTCAGTGTAATCCAAAAATAATTCTAGTAAATTTTTTAAAGGACTGTGACAAAGATATTCTAAATATATAAAGTATAGCATCATGAAGAGCTAACTTATTTTGAAAAAAACAGGAAAAAAACAACCTTCCCTCCCCAGATACTAAGATAGTAAGAGGTAGAGATGTAGCTCAGTGAAGTGTTTGCTGAGTATAAACAGGCTCTGCAATCCATCCCCAGCATGTGTGTGCGTGTGCACACACACACACACACACACACACACACACAGAGCACAAACTACAAGAAGAAAACAGTGTTTCAAAAACAGGAATATCAATAGACCTATTGAACAGAAATAATGCATCGACTGATTCCTTTAGATATGGCAATTAGATATGATGGATGCCACTAGGCATCAGAAACAATTACTTAAGAGAAAACATGATGTAAATGATCTCACTACATACAGAAGAGCCCTGCCTGACAAGATATACAAAGTGGACCCTGGATGAATGGAAAACCCAAGTGTGAAAAGTAAATCTAGAATGCTAATAGAGAAAATATCTGATCTAGAGGAAAAGATGGACTTCTGCAACACAACCTCAATGGAAAAAACAATTAGGAGAATCATCCATCACTGAATTACACGTAACATAAAGAGTTCTGTTTTAAAAAGACAGCTTTAGCAAAGTTAACAGACAGATGAAAGATTAGGGAAACATATTTGAAATGTCCCACACCAATGAAAGACCAATATGTAGTATGTAAAGAATTCTGCCAATGAGCAATAAAGAGAAAAAATTAGAAAATTATGGATAAAGTATATAAATTGAAACACAGAAAGAAAATGTGAATGGCTAGCAATATACAAAAAGATGCTCAAACTCAGCAATATTCAGAGAAATACAAATTAAAATAAAGAGCAGGATAACATTATTCATTTTACGTGTCAAAAACATATCCAATTTATATTCATGGGTTGGCACTGTGTGGGATCATAAGAACCTTGTGTCCTTCTGGCAGCAGTGGGGACTGTTCAAGCATCCAAGACAGCAACCGAGGCAGGGCTTACTCAGGATCCCATTGTGAGCAATCTCAGAGACAAGAAAATCTTTGCAAGAATCCAAAGGAAGACATGGATACAAACAATAGCTGTTTACTCTTTGTGTCACAGTAAAATGGAGTTGATCTGCATTTCCATCAGTGAGACATCATTTGGTAAAACGCAGTGTGTGGGTATTATGAAACAGTACACGGTAGACAGAGGTCATAAAACTGATGGGTTCATAGCAACAGGTACAGACATTTAAAGAATAGCATTGAATTAAAAAAAGTGGGGAAATGTGGTCCTTACTCTAAGGCTTTTGATGCTAATTAAAATATAAACACAGAAAGCAGTTATGCACATTATAGAGATACCTAAAATTTGAGGATATATATTAAATGCATTAAAATGGTTGCTTATATGGAGAGAGAAAGGGGATTAGGAGATTAGGAGGAAAAGGAGGTGTGATTCAGTGGTAGAGCACTTGCTTAGCACTTTAAGAAATGCTATTCAATCTCCTAGCATTGAGCCCCCTAATATAAGTAGGGAGAAAAGGAAGGCAATGTAAAATAAAATAAGAGGTCAGACTTGGCTTGACATATGATAATACTAAACCACAAACCCAGGCATAAAATGAATTTAACCACCTGCCAAAATGGGTATTTTCTTGTCTACCATCAAAACTGAAGAACTTAATATGAGAAGCTTCTAAACTTTGAAGTCACCATTGAAAGAAAGAGCTAAATTTCCAGTTGCTGCAGTTTGAAGGCAACAAATGGTTCACATCCTGAATTTAGAGAAGGCCAAGCTAGTGCTCATCACCTGTTCCTAACACCTGGTTTTACTTGGCCTCCCATTGTAGTCTGCAAAAGAATGCCACGGAGACCTTCTGTTTTCAGAGTTAAGCCTTCCAGCGAGTGTCCCCACCCCCACCCCTGCTCTGTGCGCATTTCTAACTCTGATTGATGCTTTCCCTCCCACCGAGCTGCATCAATTATAGTAGCAACTTTATGGGCTGATATCTGACCCACTGGAAATCCCATCAGGCAAACATAGGTTGTCACAGGCAACCAGGTCCTTTACTGTTCAGGTTTCCCAGATAACAACTTCCAAAGATTTATTTATTTATTTTTCATTAAGGCTGTTAGATTCCTTATTTTTCTTCGTAACATGGTACAAAGTAAATTACCTGAATGCCAGTGACTTTCTCTTCTGAGAAAGTGAAAAATGAATAATTCTGGGGCCAGTGATGGGCCAGCTCATTTAACTCTTGCCTTAAATTTGGGTCACTCCCACGCTGGCATATTGTCCTATTTTCAGAACACTCTTGGACCTATTTTCCCACTTCCCTGTGGCCCATCATGAGGGAGCTTCTGTTTTACAACCATCCCACACTCTGCACACAGCAGGCTTCAGCTTCAGTTAGTGTTTGGTTCTGTGAGGACACAGAGCATCTGGAAAATATCCTTTGTTCAGTAAATGTTCAAGAACCCAAAGCCTATTAACAGTTTTCCCTAAGCAGTCTTTATTTCTCTCTGTAATCAATTTGTTACATCAACATGTCCAACAATACTACTACTGTGGAAGGTTGTAATTCTAAGCATTTAGCAGATTTCTTAATAACTCATTTTGTTATTTGTGTGTATACATGGAATTTGTCATCAAACACAGTTTCTCTGAAGAACCCAGTGCTCTTCCTGTTGGATTGGAGCCTGTCAGTCAAATAAGTTCAATAGTAGTAGATGCTATTTCTCAACCAGTTACCAGTCTCCTGAGCAGTAGAAATATGTCATTGAGGCAATGCTCCATCTATTAAAATTATTACATCTTGTTATTTCTCACTGCAGCAAGTGCAGGGCCAGCGAGGTCAGGACCTTAAGGAAGTTACTGCCCATGGGCCTTAGGGGAAAAGATGGGGAACATGGAGCATTTCCAATTCCTTTAAGCATGTGTGTATCTTTGTACCCAATTAAATTCATAAAATATATATTTGTGTTTGAAAGACTTTTCCTCTAATTGGTCAAATGGCCTTGAATAAATTAATTCACTTGCCTAAGACTAAGTTTCCTCACCTGTGATAGGAGGATTTTTATTCACTTAGCAAGCACTTATTAAGTATGTTCTGTGCATGTGGGGAATTGTCTTAGGAATGTGGAATAAAATTGACAATTGGGCGAGATCACCTCTATTGTGGAATTGGCAGTTAACTTGAAATTAAAGCAAAAATAGAAAATAAAGTGAAAATTACAACAGTGCTTCAGGGCAAATATACTAATACTCCTTAGAGAGCAGTCTGAAGACTTCATGGATGTTACTTTGCAAGGATCCTGTGATGAAATGTATCTCTGTAGTTCATAGTGTGCAGAGTGTGTGCTCAATAAGTGGCGGGTACTTGAGTTGAAAGAAGGACTGTAGTTAAAAGGTATCATTTTTCTGCCCCCACTGAGAAACAGAGTGGGCGCAATAGTGAGGGGGCAGCCCACGACTCTAAGTTGTACTGGTGTGTCCATGGAATTATTTTCACAGTAAAATCCTAGGAGAGAGGCCTAGAAAGAGAGTTCAGGGGCACCCACGGAGGAGGGCACAGATCCCACTCTGTGGAACAGATCGCCGGGGCACCCCTTCCATCCAACATACCACTCTACTTAGGGAAGGAGAGGCTTATTGCCCATCCAGGGTCAGAGCAGTGCCTTGCCATCCCTGGAGTTCCCCTAAGATTAAATTGCGAGAATGCAGCTGGGTGGGTAAGAGGGAGAGCGGAGTAGCATCCCCAGGCCAGGGCTGTTCTTCCTGTGTTTTGACTTGCTGTGTTGACTTGACTTGCTGTACCGACTTACAGAAAATCTTGGGCAACCTACTTTTTTGGGTCAGCCCTCTGCTTCCCCCGGGGTTAAGATAGTGAATTTCTTGGGGGCGCTTCTGCCTGAGATGCATTGCAATTCCAAATTCAAGGTGGTTTTCATCTTTTTAAAAACTGTTATCTAGGCAGGACTCATGCCTTGGAAAAAGAAGAAGCTTCTGGAATGGATCTGGGTCTGGCCTCACTGAGGCTTTGGACCCTTCTATCTAAAGCCTTGAATTTCTCTCTGCATTGTACAGAAGCTGGGATCAGCTTCTCTGCTCTACAAAACCACATAATATGTAGTCACTGAAGGAACTAAGACCTATCTCTAGTGCTATACTTTGTGGTCCGTTTGGAAGGGACTGTGAAATATGATTGAAAGGCATGCAGAAAGAGGGAAAACAAGAGTAGTGTGGCTCTACGAGTCAGCCGAGATCAAGTCTGAATTGGTGAGCCACTCCGTGGAGTGAAAGCCAAGTACCTGGAAATAAATCAAAATGACTGAACACATTTTTATATTATCCTTATTTCAATATTTGTTACATTCATTACAGCACCGGGGACGACTGACCTTTACCTGGGAACGTTGATTCTTGGACTGTTAGCTTTTGTTTCCCTAAAGCAAGTAATCACTTGAATTCCCTGGCATTGCTCTCTGACATGAAGCTCGTGGGGTGGCAATGTGGGGGAGGTTAATGCCTTCGCCGGCTGACGACTGGGCCCGAGCTGGCCGGGTCTGTGAGCCTAGAAGCCTGGCTGGCCAACACAAACATGCTGATTCCCCTGAACTCATTAAAAGGGGTTTGGTTGGGTTAGAGAGAATTCCAATGATTGCTCCTGGAAACACGACCAGGCCTCACAGTTCCGATGTGTCACAAAGGCCTGGAAACAAAGTGTAGCCCTGCCTTCCTGAAGGAATTTGAAGTGATATAGATTTGAACTATTTGGCACAAAAGACTTTCATGTTGGGCAGGCTGACCAGTACCTGGGACACAAAGAAGGTAAATTCATTAGCTGGATTGTCTTGCAAGCCAGGAGAATGTCCTCTTCGGAACAAGATCAGACAGTTCTGTCACCCTGAGCCTTGTAGACTCCTTGAAGTGTTTGTGTCACACATCCAAGTCAAGTCGGGGCACCAGTGGCCTCTCTACATCTAATGGAGCACTTGCTTCTTCTAAGTTTACCTGCCAGTTTAAAAGCAAACAAACAAACAAACAAACACAAAAGCATTTGTTGACATGCATCCTTCATTAAGCCTCCAGAGACTTGATAATAGCAGAAAGCTTTGGGCAGATAAATGAGGATAATGGGACTCAGTCAATTAATGAATATTTGAAATGCCTTTATAATGAGGTTCTCCTACAGTCTACACATTAAAGTAAGGGAAAAGACATCTTATCTCATTCCATGGTTCTTGCTGGGGCCAAAAGATTCTCCCTTGAACTCACTCTGTTTATAGATGGCAAGGAGTGAGGTTTATTTGAACTGGTTTTTGTTTTGAATTTGTGCGGGTTTGTCCTCGCCACTGCAGAATGTATCCTTCAAGTGTCTGCGCCTCTGAGCCTGGTTGTTCCTTTCTGAGGCAGTGCCAGAGTTTATCACCACTCACTTCTGGATAGTGTTAATGCGGCAGTCACTTCCTGTCTGCACAATAATCAGAACATTCACCAGAGCATTGAGCGTTACAAGCCACATACATGGGTGATTGTTACCTGAAATGGTTAAAAAAAATTTTTTTTTAAAACTTAGTATAAGATGTTCACACTGTTTCTAGAGAAGTATTGTTCCAAGTTAAACATGTGCCCATGGCAGGAATAGGAAGAATAAAGCAGACCTGTAAACAGGCTGCATGGGAGACTTTTGCTCACAGGTTCCCCAGAGCACAGCAGGGAACACTGGCTTCCATGTCTCCTCGGAGTGGAAATTAGTCTGTGGATAGTGGATAGTGAAATTCAGAGAAGAGAGCTAATGCAGGCCCACAGTGCTCATGTTTCTGGCAAACACCGGAATTCTTGAGAGAATTTATGAAAACTTGCATTGTGAGTCTGTCCTGGAAATGGTTAGGCTTGGGTAGGGGAGCCCTGCGGCGATGCATTTCAGCCAGTGCTGGTGCTGCTGGCCTGGGGAGCACATTCGGAGCAACGCTGATATAAGAGAAAAGGCACAAAGGGCCTTGTCAGTTGAGATCAAAGGTGAAGGGGCCCATCTCTTATGCTGGATATCGTACCTTAGTTCTCTTATCTCATTTGAAGAACAAAACATTTTATGAGAGATACAGTAGTCCCCCTTACCCACAATTTCATTTTCCTTGATTTCACTTACTTGCGGTAAATCATGGTCTGAAAATACTGAAAGGAAAAGTCCAGAAATAAACAATTCCTAAGTTTTAAATTGCATCCCATCTTGAGTTGTTTCACGAAACCCCTCACTATCCTTCTCTGGTCTACCCAGGATGTGAGTCATCCCTGCCCAATGTATCCATGCTGTATACATCGCCTGCCCATGAATTGCTTAGAAGACATCTTGGACATCAGATTCGCCATCACACTTGCGTTCCAGTTACTTTCACTTTACTAATAAAGGCCCCACTCCACAAGAGCAATGAGGCTTCACGCTATGCCACAGAGAAGCTGAAGTGCTTCCTTTTACTGAAAAGGTAAAAGTTTTTTTTTTCTTTTATTGAGTTTATTGGTACATTTTAGGTATACAGTACAATTACATTTATTACTGGGATCTTGTACCTTTACATGACAGGTCTTGGTTCTCATTTTTCCCCCTTGTCCCTGCCCTCCCTTCACCCCCTTCTCCCCTCCCCATTTACAAACACTTTATTTCCATTTTTTCATTTTGTCATATTTTTTCTTTTCCCTTATTTCTATAAAATGGAATACTACTCAGCCATAAAGAATGAGAAATTAGATTCATTCATAGGAAAATAGATACATATTGAGGATATACTCCTAAGTGAAATAAATAAGTCACACATGTGTAAATACTGAATAGTTTCTCTGGTGTGAAAAGCTATAATAGTACATAAGATCCTAATGAGATAATTGACCATGTGAATAAGAAGAAAAGGGCTAAAGGTGTAGGGAAAATGGGAAGGGTAGGGTAAAGGTAATAAGGTGCTAAGTGAAAAGGTAAAAGTTTTCAGCTTAAGGAAATAAAACAAAATGCATGCAGAGGTTGCTGAGATCTACAGCACAGTAAGATATTTTAAGAGAGAGGAAGCAAAAGACCATATCCATATAAACTTTATTGCAGTATGGTGATAATTGTGCTATTTTATTGTTGGTTATTGCTGATAATCTCCTACTATGCCTGCGTATAAATTAAACTTTATCACAGGTATGTATGAGTAGGAGAAAGCATACTCTGCACTGTTTCAGGCATCCACTGTGCATCTTGGGACGTGGAGAATGGGGAGCTGCTGTCGTTTTGTCTTTGTGTTCAGTAGGAATACTGACATTTCTGTCTTTACAGAAGAGAACAGAGCAATCTCTATACTACACACAAGTCCTGTTTGCTTGTTGATCTCCACTGTAAGAGTTTGGTCAGAGAGGGACTCCATGGGAGAGATAGGGAAGAGGCCCAGGGTCAGCCTTGGGGTATTCTGGTGCAGGGTCCTGGCTTGGCGCTGCCTCTTTTCCTTGATGCTGTGACTTCTTCCCCCAGCCTCTCTATACCTTGCTCTCTGCCTCAACACTTGACACTTCCCTCATCGACAGAAATTCCTCCTGTTCCTGTAGACTGACTGATCCTGTATGACACATTCTTAGAATTTAACTCACCTCTTGTCATTTGAGTTTTTAATGTCTGACATGAGTAGAGGTTTGATGTCTGACTTCATTTGTAGAAACTCACCGAAATCTTTTGCCATGCTTCAAGAATGCTTAAAATTTAAGCCCTCGGGTTGTGTAACGTAAGCCAGTGCCCTGGGTTATCAATCCTCCAAATTGTTGGAATTTTCACATATTGGGGGTTTTAAGTGGGAAGAAGAAAAACACATAGTGTTGTAAGCAATAGAGAATTTTACTGCTTGATTATCTTTCTAAACTGAAGCTGAGTAACTGGGGACAATTAGAAACAGTAGCTTTCTGTACATCTCAAACTAGGGACTACACACAGGGATTATTTCTTTGAAGAAGCTTTAAAGGAATTTGTAGAATGTAAATGATTTATTATCTTCATTATTCAAAACATGTCAGCAACTGTCAGAAATATAGTACATCATATTCTTAGTACTGGATCAAACTATAGGTAAAGCTGCATGTGTCCCCTTCAGGGGTTTAGAAATTGAAAAGGAAGAAAATAATCAGATTTGGTTGGGGAAGACTTTCTGTGCAAAGAAGAAAAAGAAAAGAAGGCATTTCCATCACTTCAGAGTTGTTTCTTTGGCCTCAAGGACTAATCATCAGTGCTGGAGCTTGGAAGCTGCTGGCACTTCTAAAGAAGTTAGCAATTGTCATTTGCTTCTTTCTATTCTTCCTTTTGCCACCTCAGTTCCAACCCTGCCTCTTTTTTGCTCTGTCCCTTTTATAGTAAGGGCTGTTGCAGAGCTGGCCTTCTGGCTTCCCTTCCCCATCTCTGCAGGGAGCCACATGTGACAATCCTCACTCATAGCCCCATCCACCTGCTCTAAATAGTCTCACCCGTAACACCACGGGCTCCCTGTGCGTCCTCGTAAATGTGCTCAAAAGGATAATTGTGGTTTCTCAGTTACAGGCTCGATGTGAGGTGACAGTTTAGTGGTCAGTCCAGCTGTATTGGGAGTTAAAATTATCCATGCTTGTCTGCACGCGTGCTTAGTGAACTGTACAGCTCCACCTTTTTCCGGCTGATTTAGCCTTCTCTCCCCCATGGAGTATACAGCCAACGTCCCCGGGTCTGCTCAGAAACCGGCCCCTCTTTCCTTTAGGAGTCTGTCGGGCCACTGCAGTAATGAAGAGGTCTGGTGTGTTCAGCTTTATCTTTTTGATGAATTCTGAGAAGCCGTTGTTTTAAATGTGACAGAATAGCCAATCTTCTAGTAGGAGGAAAAGTGTTTCTAAAGTACAGTCTTTTCTCTCTGCTGGTTCTCTCTCTGTTCTAACTCTGAATTTCACCCAGAGTAAATGTTCAGTCATTGACTGAGCCTCGTTGTGTAATCATTATCTGGTTAAGAAGTCAGAAAGAAGTGGAAATGTTATGAGGGGTCTGGATCTGTGAGTTATGAGGGACTCCGCAGTTTCCAACACAGCTCTTCGGAATCCAAGAGAGGCCATTTTAGGATCAAAGTGCTGTACTCTCTCAAGACTCTTCCAGGCAGAATATTTTCACGAGCTACAGACGTCCAGGCTTTAAGAGCTTTTCTTGTTTGCCATCCACGTGGTTTTCTCTCATCTTCCTCACTCCTCTATCTGACTGAGCTTTTCTTCTAAAAACCCAGTGTACCTTTTACTCAGGAAACGAGGCATGGCGCATGGGACAGCCTGGGTATTAAGCCGACACTGATGGACTCCTTGGCCAGGGAAAGCCTTGGTGATACTGCAGAACGTATTTTGTCCCGGGAATCATCAGGGCTGTGTGGGCAGTCTTCCGGAGTCTCTAGATGAATGTAGCCCTCATTCCTTCTGAACATTTTTCAAGGCAGCGCTCCTCCAATATTTTCTCATTCTCTCACACTAAAGAGTCAAATTACCTTGAGTTCATTGCAGCGATAAGCAGTGAAGTCCAACAAAGCTCCTACCCACCCAGTGTACCGGGAAATCCTATGAGAGGGTGGACACGGCCCAGGGGGAATAAAGAAGAAAGCGACAAGTTTAGGTCAAAATGGAACGCTTGAGTGGGGAATTTCCCAAAGAAGCGGGTCTATGAGCTGTATCAGGAAAGAAGAGCGTACAAGAAAACAAGCAGTGGTCTAGGGGCAGGATATGCAAAAACCGGGAGCCATGAAACTACTTGGTGTGTGTAGGGAGCAGTAGGGTACTCTGAAAGATTAGAATATGTCTGTATGGTGAAGGTGGTTGCAGAGGTAGTGAAGGGCAGACAGGGGAGAGCCTGGGGAGCCACAGTCATGAACGTTTCTTACTATTCAAGTCTGAGCAGATCTGTTGTGAGCATGTATTTGTGCACTCAATGGCAGACTTTCCTCCCAGTAGATATGTCTACCTTCTTTCACTGTAATGAAACCTAGAGTTGCTTTTAGGTTAATCTTTAAGCCAGAGAAAACAGGATCAATATCAGGATGCATTTCATTCCCCTCCTCCACATACCCCGGAGTACTAAACTGTAAATTGAGTTTCTGATGCTTGTGTCTGGGGCAAGAGCTGCATGGAATTCGGAGCAGTGGCTACAATTGGGACAGATGCTGGTGGATTCTTCATGACCTTCATCTCAACATGCTTCTGCAGAACTCTGCCTTTCTGCCTTTACATATAGTTAGAGGCTGGCTCCAATTTTGGCAGGTTTAATAGCGCCTCATTTATTTTTCCAGTCTTCATCAACATGCTTCTCAGTAATGATCTTCACATCCTATTAGCATTTTCTTGCATCTTCCCTGCAGAGAAAAACCAACACACGAAACTCGCCACTCTGGCTAAATGTTGGCAGATGCCTTTCGTAAAGTCTTATAAAACAGGCATTAAGCAATTTGGCTGAAAACCTGTTGGAACAAGTTACTTGATTTTAATGAACTATCCCCTCTGAAGAGGTTTTGTTTATACTATGTCTTTCACTAACTGGTTTCTTTTTAAGCCAAAAAAAAAAAAAAAAAAAAAAAAAA